AAAAGAAAGAAAGAATAACGAAAGAAAGAGCATGGGTCTAGGTAGAAAGGAAGGGAAGAGACAGTTGTCAGTTCCCACAATCTAAGACATAGTTGGAATAAGAAACAAAAAGAATGGCCATAATTTGCCATGAGAATGCTTCTGATGCACCAGGAAACACAAGAAAACACTGAATGTGTCACCACCCCAGGAAATATTCATCCTGATGTGCCACCAGCACATGATTATGAAAGTCCCGGTCAAACTGAGAAGAGGGAACTATTTCACGAGAAGAGTCCTCCACTCCTCTACTCACAACAGAATACCTTATGCCACCAGACTTGAAATTTTAGGCTTGGACAACTTAGAACTACACCGCCTTCAGTCCGACCTAAGCGTAGTACATAAAATTATCCATTGCAATGTCCTACCCATCAATGACTACCTTCAACTTCAACCACAACAATACATGAGCACACCATAGATACAAACTCAATGTTAACCGCTCCAAACTCGATTGCAGGAAATACGACTTCAGCAACAGAGTGGTCAATGCCTGGAATGCTCTACCTGACTCTGTGGTTTATTCCCCAAACCCTCAAAACTTTAACCTCAGACTGTCCACTGTTGACCTCACCCCATTCCTAAGAGGTCTGTAGGGGGCGTGCATAAGCGCACCAATGTGCCTACCATCCCTGTCCTAATGTTCCCTTTTACTCTTACCCATTCCATGTATTCATAATCATGGTTATACTTATATCTATTATCTAATACATGCTTGAAAAATAAATAAATAAAATGAAATAAAATAATCTTACATGGACTCCCAGGCGCTGCTCACTTTTGGGGTAAGGAGCTATTATTTCCTGTAAAAAAAATGTGGCCCGGTTAGAGGTTGATTCCAACAGAGCTGTCATCTTTCTGGATCCCTTTCTCCCTCAGCTTCCATACACCTGGTGAGGAATTGAAAGGGAGATGACTTTCTAAAGGGGCCACATTAGCACATTATCTTTGTGCCGGAGATAGATCAGAGGGTCACCTAGTGAGTCATCTTTTTAAAGCAAGATGAGGTCAATTCTCAAGGGATAAACTCTTCCAGGAAGATTTTGAGTCATAGCTCCATATGGACATTTGTATCTATTGTTCGCAACTGGAGTGGCCATCTTAAAGAGGAAGTTAGGTCATTGTTATTGTTTATCCATCCATGCCTTACTGGGTGTCCTGCTTAGATGGTTGGGATGAGATGAGTTGAACCATCACATTTGTTTGACCTTGATTCGTGGTTTTATTGGTTGCCTGGAGAATGGCCTCTGGGGAGTAAACATGTCCATGAGAGGAACCCTAATCTGATCCACAGACTGATCTGGTGCATTCCTCCTTCATTACAAGATTGTGAGTTTGGGGCAATGCAAAATGAGGTAATGGACAATGATAGGGGAGGCTAGGTTACAAAGGCTGCTGAGTCTAAGATTCTTTGCTTCTCTAAGATACATGTACAAATACAATCAGATGTAGTGGAGAGACCTGGCCCATAGAATCGTCAAGAGTCAGACAGGGCTGAATGGATATCATCATCATCATCATCACCATGTACCAAGAATTCTGTCATTCTTTTTTTAAGTGTTCAATGACAGTGATAGAGAAGCCATCTGGAATGCACAGTTGAGCACTCCTTAACTGAGACCAATATTGGTAGAAAAGCATATGCAAACCCTTGACTCATTCTTACAAAAGCTCTATAATTTAAACAGACTTCTTATAACTCTTTTGCTTCAGATTGCCCATTGAAGGGAAAGTGGAACTGACCCCCAGTTCATTAGCCAATAACCTGCCTTAGGTATTGGGTCGAAACATGGATTTTTACTTGATTTTGTGGTGCTCAACCATGGATGCAATTGGATAAGCCTTTTTCCAAATACTTTGGGGGTAGAATGAAAAGCATCTGTTTGAGCCCACTTCTTTTATGGCTGTGCCTTCCTCATTCACTCAAAGGGAAATCTTCATAGGGATTTTTTAAAAAAGATGGCAGCTGTGAGTATAGGATCAGGACCAAGGGCCCTTCAGATACAACCTCCATCAAAAGGGAGTAGGCTTTAATCACGTGGACATGATCTTGACTTTTTTGACTCACACCTAAGCAAAGGAGTTTATGAAAAAGTCCACCTATTTGTGTCCTATCTGATTTCTTATATATCGTAGCTCAAAATTGCTAACTTTGTTTCTACAGATTATTTATATGTATACACACACACTTTTCTTTTTGAGA